ATCTCTCTGCCTTTGTCCATCCGAGGTACGAGGGGCGTACCTAACTCTGTCCGAGGTACGAGGGCTGTACCTAACACGTCCACCGCAGCAGTTGTGCATCCACTGCTGGCATGTCTGTGTGTGTGTGACGCAGTCAAAAACAAGCATGAAGTACAGGCAGGAGCCACGGGCTCCTTTGAATAAAGCAGGATCCGAGTCAAGTCCACCACTCAACACAGCTGGGTCGGAGACATTTGTGGTTCGGGCTACCATGGAGTGGTGCCCTGCAGTGCTCAGCACTGACTTGGGGAGCTGAGCCGTGTGGGGGCTGCACTGCGTGAGGCTCCATAGAGAGAGCTTGTCTCTATGGTATTTTTAGCCCAGGACCACAGCTGTTCACTTAGTAGAGTATGAACATGAAGTCTAGTCTTAGTGTTGTAAGATTTGAGCCCTGAATCCGTATTTGTCAAGGGTAAAARCTGAGGTATTCAGTTTGGTAAAGCCAGAAAGCTTGGAGTCAAGACATGATGCAGAGCAGCGTTCAGAAGAGGTGCCTTGGGGAAGAGGGGCTGAAGGCACAGGATTTCATCAGCATTGCCTTAGGAAACAGATGGCTCTGTGTTGCTTTCCATTTTACAGTGAGGAAGCTGAAGGGCCAAGAAATGACGTGCCTTGCATAAGGGTAACACAAACGAGAACTGGGAGCTCTATGTGCCCTGCCTGCTCCTGACTGCTGATGCAGTGCCTATCAGGTACGACTCAAACCATGTAAATGGTGTTCAGATTCCATCCACAGTGTGGGAATCCACATCCATTATTTATAACATGGACATGGGGGCTGAGTAAGGTTAGTTGTTTCTGGGAGGGAAAAAAAATCAATCTATAATATTTTGCAGACATAACAACAAAGAGGTCAGACAGCCAATGAAAGATGTTGATAGGAAAAAAATAAAGGTTAAGATTTTTTAATAAAACTTGCATGGAGAAGCTCCGTGGCCTGCAAAACCAAGAGTTTACACTTTTTGTGAAGTAATGAAGTCCAAAGTGTACATCTACGGATTTATTTTATGTAAGGAGGCAGAGTAAGCTCATGCTTACTCTGTGTAACTTACTCCAGTGTGCTGGCCATGAAATTTTTAAGGGGGTCTGATGCTCCACTGGAAAATGTTATTTTTGTTGTCCAGTTGTTTCCACCAAAGGAAAAAAAAAAAAAAAAGTGAGAATAGCTTGTGTCAACTGATCATTTCTTAGCAAAGAGTGGGTAAATTGTCTGCGGGAGAAAAGAAAAGAAAAAAAAATAGCAGTCTGGTAGTAGCTTTTCCTCTTTATCTTCTCCATGGTGACAACTCAAAAGCAACAAGCTTGAAGCTGCAAGCATGGCAAATGAATAACCCTCCATAATTAGGGATGAGGATATGTCTCCAAAAGCTATGAAAGTACTGCATATTATGTAGAGCATTGCTATGTCTTTCTTTTCTTCCACCATTTAGAAAGTAACTTCATTACAGGAGAGAAGAAGAATGTAAGTGGAATAACAAAAGCTGTGTGCAGCAAAACAAGCCACTCATTCACTGAATAATGAGGAAAAAAATCAGCTGTTGTAAGTGCAGAGCAGTGACAGAAAAAGCCCAGCTCACTGAGAAACAGCAAGAGATTTTCAACAGGGGCTATGAAAGTCAATGACAGCTGGACACTTGTGGCTGGGCCTCTSGCCTGTGTAGCTTGTACAAACAGAACTGAGATGCACAATGTGGGGATACACGACGTCAACAGCAGCAGTGTTGGTGCTCCTCAGACTCTACAGGTGTGATGCAGCACAGCAACAATGTGCAAAGGAGATTTGCCAGTTCATTTGGGGTTCGTGCCTGGGGCACAGAAGGCATGTGATTCTTAGCACACAGCTGGCACAGAAGTGGAGGCATTTTTTTTATCTATGAAAAGAGAGCAGGTGCGATGAAGAGCTGCCAAGAGGTCTTAGAGGAAAAATCTTGCTATTTCCTTGAACTGAGTGTGCTTTTAAAAGAAGTCTGTCTACTTTTAGTTCGTAAACTCAGATAAAACTATTAGCACACAGAATCAAACAGAATCACAGAATGATTGAGGTTGGAAGGGACATCTTGCGATCATCTAGTCCAACCCACCTGCTCAAGCAGGGACACCCAGAGCACAGGGCACAGGACGGCATCCAGGCAGGTTGGTTTGGAAGATCTCCAGAGAAGGAGACTCCACAACCTCTCAGGGGCACCTTGGGATCCAGTTTGCTTTCTACAGCTCATGACCTGCTGCTTGTTTTTGCCACTTCTTTCACAGGGGACAATGAAAACCAAAGACATTTGCTTCTGTTGTTGGCACTTTGAAGTTCTTAGTGTAGTTGCCCTAATACTGCAAACAATACTTACCTACTTTGAAATTATGTTCAGCTTGAATTTTTAAAATGTTTCCTGTAACATTCCTGCTTGGGGTTGAGGGAATATCTGGAGGTCTTGATATTTTGTTTTGCTTTCTGCAATTTTTATTCTATAGGGGCTAAAAAGGTCTTTTTTACAAAATACCACTTCAAGCCCACATCTAAACTGCCTTGGTTCCTTTAGGCACAAAGCTGAAGGTTAACTGAAAACGGCCAAGGAAACAGAGTAGCAGAGAGGCCTTACAAGCATGACAAAAAATGACAGGCAGAAAGTTACAAGAAGTTAAGTCTCTCCTGGCAAAAACAACAGTGCAGGTTGGGGTGAATGCCAAAAAGCAATTATAAAGGTCACAACAGAATTCATATGGGGATCATGTCAGGTACATTCTTTCAGTTTTAATTAACCTGATTTTTACAATTGTTCCATTTCTGGTAATTCCAGAATGTAAGAGCAAAAAGACATTAGATGTGGAAGAGGCATTTCTGAAAATGCCTCTGAATCAAACTACTACTACTATCAAACACTAGCCAACCCATCACATTACCTAAGAAGCTTCTTTTCTGATGTCCTGTTTCCCAGGCAATGGGAAGGGGGCCTTAGGAGCCACAAGGTGAATTGAAGGTGATTTTAACAGCACCAATGCTGTAAAAAGCACGTATGGCCCAGCATAGCTGGCTGGCAATGATATACTGCAGAAGCTTCAGGCAGTCACAGGATGAGTTCTGCATTGTTTGGCTTATGCAAAAGTTTTCTTTGCTCTTGTGCCATCAAGGAATCAGTTAAAGCCACTTTAGCTTCTATTTCTGCTTGTCCCAAGCTCTGTACTTCTTAGTGGCACAGGATAAATCTTCACCCACAACTTCCTGTGAAAGATCCCAGCAGAGAAAAAAAAAAGCAGTTCTACAGAGTTTATCAGCAAAATTATCTCCACAACATTGAATTTATTTTCAGAATAGCCCAGGCATAAAAAAAGCACTGTGTCCTTATATTATTTTTTCATGTACCGGTAATACTTTTTGTTAATGTTTGATTTCTGCAATGTTTCATGATTGCTCCTTCTCAAGGATTTGTATTTGTACAGCCTTGGAGCCCTCCTGCATCTCTTCAGAGACTAAGTTTTGGGAGGGACCTTGGGTCAAAAGAGACATACTCCTTTCAGTGTATATGGAGACTTAGCTACTTTGCTTAGGACAAACTACGGGTATAGGAATAGTCAGACAGCTTAACCAAATGTCCTCTGTGCCATACCAAAACACTCTGTTACTGAGAGAAGCTGGTTAGAGGCGGCACCCATGTGTGGAGAACTCCTCACACTCCTGAGCAAAAGTTCTCAGAGAATGCTCCCTCCTCTCCTCCCTGGGAAAGGCCAGCATTGCCTGATACTTTCTTTATTACTTCCTTCCACAAATTTCTTTTGCCAGCTTTATCTAACTCTGAAGAGGGGATATGCATGAAAAAATGATCAGCTCAGTGATTACAAAACCAGTTGTCTTATTTTTGTAAGTTGTGTCAGGTATTGCTTACCTAGAGCAGGTTTGTTGGAAGAGGTCAGGAAGACCTCTACAGGGACTACCCACAGAGACACAAACCACTGTTAAAACCACAGTCCATGGTGCTACTGAGGCACCCACATATGAAATGAGGAGCTGGGAAGGAAGCTTCAGCACCCACAGCTGTCAATGCTGGCTACGCAGAAGGTGAGGAGGGCCTGGGGCATGTTGCTCCTGGTCCTCCCTGACTTATCGTAACAACTACAAGGGCAAGGATGTTTATTTTATAGTATCAGTTCCTTTATTATGCGCCAGCACAAAGATTTGGATTCTTCTGCCTCTTTGTCTTGGGTGGTGTATGTTGGAGTTTCCCAAAGTTTACATGCATTCCAACTACTACATAATTTTCTATTTCAGTTGTCTGAGATCACTGAGATCACAGCAAAGACGCCGCTTGGAAATTTTACGGTGTACTTCAAAGGAATACAGGGATTATTGAAAAGTCATTAATGTTACTATTTATTTTCTCATTATGTCATTTTTTTTCAGCAGCTGAGATCACATTTTGATAGCACAACTAGATTTACTGCTTATGCTTGATCCCACTATTGCTCTAAGAGCACATATGTTTTCTACAGAATTCACTCATTGCCTCTTTTGTCTTCTCAGCTAGTCACTGTTGTGATGCTTTATTTTAAGACTACAAACACATCTGTGCCCTTGATATGACTCAGACATCCATATACTGTATGAAAAGGATTTTAATTTTATGCCAGCAATAAAAATTGGTCACTGGAAAATTTATAGTTTGGAGATCCTGTCACTGTCACATTAAATGCAATAATCAGGCTTGTTATTCACAAGTGCCAGCACTCTGCAAGTGCTCTAAAAGATGGTCCAGACGAAGACCTACTGTTACTTCTTATCTGAAACAAGCGAATCTTCAGTCTGTCTATGAACCTCTGYCTCCCTGTGCCTCTCTCTGCTGCTTATCTGAGCCTTGGATCATCAGAGTGATAGAGCTATAAAGGCAGAAGTTCTATCCTAAGTCCCTCATTTTCTGATTTGCTCCACATGGTGCTGCTGTGGAGACATTTCTAATAGGAAAAATAAATATATAGTGAGGATAGACATCAGTAATCGAAAAATCCTTCACATTTGTATAGGAAGGTATGGATTTGCCAATAAAGTGTGCAGGAAATCTAAGATCTGGACGAAGGACAGAGCAAAGTGATAGGTGCTGTCTGCATCCAACTTTAGGGAATTACAACCTGCTCTTTTCTGGAGGCTGAAATTTTTTGTTCATCTGGTAAAATTTGTAGAACCACTAGTCAGTAAGTAATTCTGTCTTCATCAAAAACTTCAGTACTTTTCCAGGTACTTGGTTTCAAGCAAAACGTTGGACAGTTTTACAGTTTTAATGTGCAATTAAAACAGGCTTCTTGAAAGAATTACAACTACCTTTTTATAAACTAAATAACTAAAATGGCAGCTCCTGAAATTTAGTGTCCAAATGCCCTACAACACCAGCATCAAGTAATCAAAACTGATCCAAATAAATGAGAAGGATCATATTTTTAATAATATATAGCTCATTCCTGGGGGCCTGCTCAAATAAAACTCTACAGTGACTGAAATAAGGGATGACACAACTGAGGTAAGACGCACGTTTTCAAAGCTCCAGCTTTCAAAATGATTTAAAAGATTCAAGTCTCTAGAGACCTTTAAATCATTGTTTTGGCCCTGCTCTGACATAGTCATTGTTGCAAAAGCACTTTCAAATTTCCATGTAAAACGCTTCCTTGGGTGTGCTGGATGTCTGATGAAAAGGATATGTCAATTTAAATTCCCTTTAAATTCACGCTCCCAGAGTTTTCAGACTAACAAAATGTCAACATATATTTTATGTGTGTGTGTGTGTCAGTATCCTCATGTCTGGTRTGAAATGTTTAATTTAAAATGACATGTAATGTAGCTCTGTACAGTTAGCATGGCCTTAGTGATCTCAAATAGAAACCACCCTCTACCCCTTATTTAACTGCGCTATGATTTCCTGGAAACACACTGAAGATGAGAAAAGATGAAAATACTTACAATTTATTATCTCCAGCAATAAAACAGGGCAGATAGACCCAGATACAGTACGCCCCTCCAAACTAACCCTTCTCTGGTCAGGGAGACCCTGGACTGGGCTTTACAAAGCTACACATCACTAGAGAAGCATGGGGTTAGAAGAGAGCCTCATAGCCATTTACCTTCAAGCATGAGTACAGTAACATCATCAGTTCCTTAGAGATTTTTCTTTCTTTCCCCCAATCCACTCACGGTGAACTGATATGGCAAAGGAGTAATACAGAAATGAATTTAATTTTTATGAAGAATTGCAGCTATGTTAATAAATCCAGTGTTCCGATCAGCACTGCTAGAGCGAGCACCTAACTTGAGGCCAGTTAGCTCCCAAATTTCCAGAGTAACAAGAGAGATCGCACTTCAGAGGCTGATAACGTCATAATAAAGTGCTAACTTACTTCTAGGCCTCATAGGACTCAAAACACTGGATATTAAAATGTCATTCTGATCATCTTCCTTCACACAAATTTCATTCTAATTTAGCAGCCAAAAAATAAATGGCTGCATTATACTCTTTGAAAATCAGAATGTCAAGCTTCTGAGTGGTGTGAAGCACTCACCTCACATTCAATTCAGCTGTTCCTGAGACAAGAGCCACTAAAATCAGGTCACAATTGAAGTGAATGAAATGGTTGTAATTAAAAGTAACTTCCAAATCCTGTGTTCATCCACAGTGTTAATCATTTTTCCATTACTGTTACTCCTCTCTTTGATGTCTTGGAACAATGACCAGAAAGGTGTAGTCCAATAGCACAGAACCAAGATCTGCCGTTTTCTTCTTCTCACCAAAACTTCCTCCATTTTGCTTCTCTAAAACAAAAAGCCCACTATGCAGAGAGGTCTGGTGGCACTGGGAGCAGAACACCAGCAAAGCTAGAGCACTGCTTATGATATGATAGAGTAAAATATTCCAGCTTGAAGCTCTACAGGTCATAGCTCAGCTGCAAGGAAATGCAACTGTACCCAAAACAAATCACAGCTGGGGAAGGGAGGGGAGGGAAACACATCATGCTCTCATTACAATAAAAGCTACTTTGATCCACTTTCAAAACAATGCAGTCTCACTTGCACTCTCATCACGGTATGAACAGAACTAAATATATTGAACAAACTAGCCCATACTTGTCTCTCTCTTTCTGTTCAGCTCTTGCCAAGGTAACACCTCATCAGTCCTTTTCTATAGTGTCTGAAAGGATGTAGATTTGCTCTCAAGATCTAGGGCCCGAGCAACTGGAGGCAGCCTGCAGCTGTTAGAAAAAGGCCTCCTCACAGCATGGGGATGATATAGAAAAGGCTTTAAGTATGGAGGCAATTTTGATCCAGATAGAGAAGAGACAGTGAGATCGAGAGGTATGCAGACAGGCCTCTCTCTGCGGATGACACAGGGCAAGAGGCACAAAGACAGTTCAGGGATGTGGGAATAGTATGGACTTGGCTGCCTTCCAGCACAGAATAGCAGGTACTGAGAAGCAGGGTGCCAAAGAAAGCCCCGGCCTCCTTTTCCTGGCAGACTCCCAGAGTCTCTGTGATTGAGCGCAGTTATTAGGAATCTGTCCCTCATGAAAGCCTCTGCTCCCCTGACGAAACTAACAACTGAAACAAACAGTCTATGACTGGTGGCTGTGGAGGTTCACAGGGGCCTGTTTTGCTTGTTGATCTGTATCTTTTCCACCGCAGTCACCTCATGGTATGCAGCCCGTCAACAYGGTATGTCCGCCAACAACTTCAAACCACAAGGGACATCCTTGTGGGGAAATCATTCTAAGAAGAAAAGAGGAAAGAAATGTGATCAGGAAAGCTCCTTTGGAACACAGAAAGAGACAGATGCAGCTTTGACACAAACATAAATAAATAGCATCAGCTTTCTCAGCCTTGTACTTCTACCCTCTCTTGTACATGTCACCTAAGATCTGGACTAGCAACTTAGCTACTCTAGTGACAGATCAGATTTCAAACAGTTCTCCTTTCCCAGCAACCTCATTAATCCTCAGTAGTCCAGGCTACTGGGCATGTTTTTCATATGCTGTATGAATGCATTCAGCACACGTGGTCCATACACATGCCCATGGGTATGAACCCACAGGAGGCTATCATCCCACTCCACTGAAGATTCCTCCTGAGCTCTGTCACATAATTTCTTGATACTATGTGTCCTGACCCAGAAGACCAAAGCCCTCTTAARTTAGGCTCAAAGACTGTTGTAAGCCAAAGCAATTCCCTAACTTGTACTTTCCTGTACTTCCCCAGATCCAGGCACAGGTGGGCTRTTATCCTGGGATGTTAACCTGGGCCTGTTACGTCCCCTCTATCATCACGTCCCAGGTAGGAGTTATTTACCCTTCTGGATTTCTAAATCCACAGTGACTGCCCTCTTGCCAATGGTCTCCTCASATACTTTCCTTATCTGCGACCCCCCCATTGGGACTGCCCTTTGCCTGCAGAGCCCCCTTGTTCCTAAACTCTGGGCAATAAGCCCTGCCTGCTGGCTCCCTGCTCAGCCTATTTGGGTCAGGAGAGCYAGACATGGCCTCACTGTTTTCTTGGGGTCCTTCTTCCTCTTCTTGTCGGAGGCATTGAGGTAGGCCTGCTCCCTGGCCCTGTAYGAAGGGCCTCGGCTCAGCTCTCTCTCACTGTATGGGGGCAGGGTGTCCTCTTCTTCCTCCTGCTGAGGTGGTGATGATGACTGCTGCGACTGTTGTGACTGCTCGGATTTGTAGGTAGAGGGTGGTGACCAGGCATAATAGGTTCCCCCTCCTCTCTGGCTGGGTTGTGAGCTCAACTTTGTAGGGGTTTCACAATGGTCACCGCTCTCATCGTAGCTCCGGGACTTCCTCTCCAAGACACTGCTGAGGTAGGAGTGATCATACTTCTGGCTCCCTCCCGGTGTCCGGCTCACCAGCCTGGGTAGATGCTTCTCCTCATGGGCCCGTCTCCGGGGTGGGCTATATGACCAGCCCCGATCCGAGTCCGTCAATGGCTCTCGATTCCCTCTGCTACGCTTGGTGTAGTACTCTTCCATGGAGCTGTCCTGGTGGGGCAGCCCTCCGCTCCGGCCACCGTGTGACTCTGAGCGCTCAAAGCGCCGCATGTCCTGGCTGTCTGCTCGACGGGTCCGCTGGCTGTAGGACTCTGCAAAGGCTGCCAGCTCGTCCATGGAGACAGCCGGCACTCCTACAGAGAAACTCTTACGAGACAGCATCTCAGACTTGGATCTCTGCTGGCTGGAGAAGGAAAGAGGTGGTTAGGCACAGGGCAAGATCAATCTGAATTCATCCCCCTGGCTGCCTTTGCAGGCAATGAAGGGAAAGAGGCACTCCTGAGGCGTGATTCATCTGACCTGTTTTCAACATCTTCTGTAAGAAGAGAGGTATGACATCCTAAAAATGCCTGCTTCTTCCTGCTCACTGTTAAGGCAGCTTAGTGTGGCTAGGTCAGTTCTAGTGTTAGCAGACATCAGTCTCTGATTGTGCCTCCCTCATCTCTCTTTGCCCCAAGCCTGCTTGCATACGTCCGCCTGCAGAAGCCCAAGAACCTAACTACAGAAGCACATAGTAGGACAAATTTGAAGCAGGTGTAAAGGGAGTCATCTGACACTACAGCCCACTACTGAGGGAAAAAAAAAAAAAGTCTGCCATTGCTTTTTGGAGATTGGGCTGCTGGTGTGTAAGGGAAGAAGGAAGTGAAATCTCTGCTCTAGGCAGGGAGTGCAGGTCTTGGTTGTGATTCCTAATAAAGTGTACCAGCACTGAGAACGGTTGGAAGGAACAGGTACAAATCTTAGCAGTGCACTTTGAAGAGAGTGGTTTGGTTTCCTGTTGATCTCACTGCTACATCCCAGCTAGAAGGGGACCAGCATCTAGCTTGGCCCAACTAGACAAGCTTCAGTAGACTTGCAGGAATTGATTCTGTCCTCTCCAATTTCCACATTTCTGTTGTGATCTCCTCTGTCCTATTAGACAGAATCAGAGCAATAGGAAAGGTAAGAAAACTATGAGTACACTTGACCCTTCTCCTTTCCTTACCTGTGCCRGTAACTGTCCCTCTCATCTCTGTAATCAGGGACAGCCTGTGACCTTGACGTGCTGCCCCCACCAATCACTCCTGCCCAGTATTCAGCGTCCCCATCCACGTCCCCTGAAGGAGGAAGAGGTTTCCTTCGCACTTGACGGTAGGGCTGACGGAAGTTCAAGTCCTCCTCGTGCAAAGAGCTGAGTTCAGAGATGGTGTTGTTATCTGTAGGGGATGTTGCAAGAAAGGAATAAAACRCCCTTCACTCAACAGCATGTGTGAGGGAAAAAGAGAGGACAGGAACTGTGTTGGACTTGGCTGCAGGTTTTTCAGAAAAAAAAAGCTGAGCTGCCTCCCATTAAAAAGATAAAAATGGAATCCAAATCCCTTCTGCAAACTCTTGCTAAAGACCTCTGGGTCCCAGCTTGGATGTAGAGCTGCTACTGGACCCACAGGAGACTCCATGTCTTTATGAACTGGTAGCTGGTGGCCAGGTGGTAATATTACACTGGTATATCAAATGGCACCCCATGCCTGTATTTAGGCAACTGAGTTCAGTCCTCATGGAAAAGTCCTCAGCGCTGCTTCAGTAATATGTGTGAGCTCTCCTCCCTTGAGAGGTGGGCGCTCTACTTGGTGGAACTGTACCACAACAGTTGTGCCGCCTCCCCCTTGCTGGTGTGAGACAGGCTGGCTCTGGATTTGGCCTGACTTGCCCAGCTAAAACAAAAACAACCCCCTCAAAAAGAGATTAAAAAAAAACAAAAAAGACTGAATGACAGTAAGTCTCTACCCTGTCAAACACAGTGACATCTGGAGGCCTGACGTACCAATCTGGAGAAGTCTTTTTATAGTAAATCTTGTGGGTGGAGAAGACAGTGTGCTCAGCAATCACTGTTTTAGAAGTACATATAATTTGTTAGTTATGCCTAATCTATACAGAGCCTTGATGTAATGCCATTCCCTAAAGCCTCTACCTTCCTAGATCTGCGGCATCTCGGGCATCTCTTCTAAAAGTGTCTCTCTCTGCCTGATAGGGGTTAGCTCTGCATGAGGTGGATGCTGCCCTGAGGAACTGTGCTGGGCACTTGTGAGCCCCCAGCTTACTGCTGTCACCTCGGTGAAGAACAGCTAGAGGAACCAGCCCGTGCCACCACTGTACCTCTGCCTCATCATGTGGTAAGATCCTTACTTGAATGCAGTAAGTGCAGGCTTTGTTTATAAAAGCAAGCCTGCAAGACATTGTGGGGCACAGTGCGTAGTTCCACATGGAAGCTCAATTCTGAGCCTGTATTATGCCCCTATCACCACCTTCTTCCCCTGCAGCTGACTGCCAGCCCATATTGACTGCTAGTATAGTATGCTAGTGTAGCATGCTASTACATACTATACTGTATATACTATACTGCATATACTCTGATCTTACATTGACCAGTGTTCTAAAACCTCCTGAAAATCCCCTTGTCTCCTCAGTGTATCCTGTACTCCTTGCTCCTTTTGCAAGGCAATAGCCAATCCAAACTACCTTTTCCCATCCTTCAAAACCTACTGCGGTCATTGCAACACAGAAAAAACAAAACAGCTTTTAAAATAATCACCTCTTCCTCTACCCTTGGTGGGAATTTATAGGCACCACCCTGTAAGTCATGGGCACAGTAACCTTGTTACTAACTAACACAACTATTGCTAGAGAAGGCATGAATATGAACCTGACTTCTCAGACACTGGTAATCCAAAAGTTTAATTATCTGAGTGGCTGATTTTCATGAGCATTTGTCCCCCACACCTTGTTCATACTAATGAAGGGTGATTAGGTAAGCAACAGCTCTTTAAAATCAKAATATATCCATTGATGCCTAAAATTTTATCCAGCCCAAGCTCCCTTTCCTCTTATAAACCCAGCAGGAGGCTTTGAGGCCAAACCAGTGAATTGTCAATTTTAACTATGAGTTTGCAGAGTCTTTTTCGGGTCAAAGATAAAAAAAAAAAGTCAAACCACGCTTGTTCCTCACATCGTTCTCGCATCCTCCTAGCTGGATCGAACTGAGCCAGTTCTTTCTCCACATAGTACAGCACCTTCATGGAATCCCTTTCCTTGTCAGTCTGGATTCTGTATCCTTTGCGCACTGCTGCAGAGAAAAGGAAAGAAAAGCATTTAGAAGTGAACACATCCAAGTCCAACAAGCCTTTCAGAAAACACTGCTCCTATAGCAGAGTTCATGTCTGCAGCTAGGTAGACTGTGTCTTCCAAAACAAAACAAGCCAGCCTTTATCTCAGAAGAAATTTGTCTGTAAAGTAGAATGTAAAGTTGTGAGCAGCTATGTAATTTATAAAGTTTTCAGCAACAGCAAAAAAAAAGAGTTTAGAAATGCCCCAGTGTGGAAGAAAAGATGCACTGAATGGTGCCACTGCCAGAGTGATTTTCTCTGAGAAAAGCAGCACTCATTTCCCCTTCTTTAGCATTGTGGAGATGATTTGCCATGGTATGGGAAGCGCAGTCRCAGATCACACTTCCCCTGTGCAGAAAGGGCAGCAAGCACCCGGTGTGCAGAGGAAGCAGGGGCCTAAGTATCTGGGTGCTGTGGCTCTGCTGCACCACTCCACCCTCCCTGTCCCTGTGAATTATGTTATGGGTTGATGAGCATGTGGTCAGAGGAGCTCCATGGAATTACAGTAAGTCCCATAAAGCAAGGCACACCGCTTTGAGATTTATACCAGATCCAATGATGGGGCCAATCAGGTCACTATGTACCTGTGAAACTGCCTGCTCTGACATTTTTTACATGCTGATGACTCCATTTGCATGGGGAAGACTGGGCAGCTTTTTGGCTTTTGTCACCTTCCTGTGTGGGTGCAAAAGAGCAGCCCCTAGGCACCTGGCGCCACAGGAGCTCTGACTCTAGCAGGTTGGCTCCCTGTCCCTAACCCCATGAAGAGCCTAGCTCCCTCAGGACAGGCAGGCATTCAGCGGGCACAGACCTCCAGCCATCCAAACTTCAGAGAGACTAAGGCTTCCAGAGCGAGCATTTAACAAAGGCCCCAGCCCRGGGCTGTGCCAGCACCAACAGGAACACAGGTCAACCTTCAGAACAGGACAACAAATCTAGCCCTCAGATTCAGCCTCACTGGAAAACAGCTATGGAGACTCTTCACTTACCCTATGAAACGAACCCCTTTGCTTTGCATAGGCTTAACCTGTTATCTTGTATGAGTACTGTAGTGTTGCATGAGCACTGCYGTTGTGATCCAACCTGTTTCTTGTGCATTTCAACCCGCATCCTGATACACTAAGCTACCAACGTATGGGTTTGATGGTRTGTTGCACAGTATGCACTGTGTGGGCAGAGCAAGGACTTGGCAGAGGTATTCTTAGGCACCTTCTGTCCTAAATTGCTGTGCATGTATCTCTGCACTACTTAATAACAATGCTCTGCTTCAAGAAATGCCTGTGGTACAGAAATGGGTAGAAGATGCCTGTCATAATCCTGCAGATTGCTTTACTGTGAAAGAGAAAATGCTTTACTGCATATTTTCATTGTCTGTAAGGTAAATAACTAAATCTTGACTGGTATCTTGTTTATCTGTACTAGGAAAGGTATTAGATGTTAAGACATAGTATGGGTCCAGCAGGCTTAAGCTTTCAGTGTGTCGCCAGAAGATACCTAGAAAGCTCAGCTGCCTGCAGTCTGGAGTTTTGCTGTGTTTTAATATCACCACCAATATGCATGTACAATGACTGTAAACGCACACAGTGATATGCAGAACACAAGAAACTCTGCCCCTGCCTTCTGAAGCATAAGACCACCAGTCTGTTCAAGCGAGGTTGCTGCTATGAACACAGGCTGCACTGAGTGGCCGGAGAGGTGATGACTCCTCCTGCCCTCACAGAGCTGGCAGAGCAGCAGAAACAGCCAAGGGAGGTCTACAGTTTGTCTTACCATCGGGGCTGACTGACAGAAAGAGAGAGACCTGTTACTGTTATTTCTTCTAATGTGTGTACTAGGAGTTCAGCTAAATTACTACCCCATTTTCACACAGGCCAACAGACAACCATCAGCTGGAAATGATTCTGACCTACTAGTAAACTTTGGGGAACCTGAACTGACAGCTTCCAGAGGCTGTCTCCCTAGAGCCACTAGTCTCTCTAGGGCTGTGCCAGATATTTATGTAGGCAACATCCATAGCTCCCGGAACCGATGGAGAATTAGCTAGGCTTCACGCTGACTTCATGCTCAACTTTCTATTGCAGCTGTGTATCAAAAGCAAAATTAATTTCTTGGTTAACTCTCTAAGCATTTCGAAATTAACATTGGAATTAAATCTGCAAAAATGACCGAGAGCGGCTCATAAAAAGTAATTTCTATTAAGAGATAATGCATATATCCCATCTAAGTTTGTTTATTAAATACTTCTTGCAGTGATAATGAATGTTCCATGTCTTGATTCTTTTTATTATTCCTTCATTTAAAAAAAAMCCAACTTCTTAGGGCTTCTTCCTTGCACACTCAGTTGTAAAATGCCAAAATACTCCAGTATTTTTAGGCTAATTTTGATTATAAGAAAATGGAAATGAAGAGAAGTTAACCATTTGCCCAGAATCACTCACTTAAGTTAACAGAAATGGAACATTCTTCTCCATTAGGCCACACTTTCTCCCCATGAAGAGCTCATAAGTTTCTAGTATTGTATAATTGTGTGTTAATTTGTGTAATGCCAGAYACTTCATTCTTCTGTGGGTGGAAACAAGCCAGCCAAAACTGCAGATTGTTTCCCTCCCCAGAAAGGTCAGCATTACTATTTTTTTCAGACAAGTATGGGTAGGAAATAAAAGAGACCTTAAACATCTTCCACATTAAAGGTCTGGAGTCCAGCTCTCAGATCAAAAGCTTCTGCATGGGTCAAGGAAACTCTGCAAAGGTCTCCTGTAACTACTGTGTTTAAAATAGGCAGAGCACACATCTAATTTATATGTTGCCAACACTCCTAAATAAGAGAGCCAGATGGGTTTTTTTCTTATTTTTTTCCCATCTAGCCCTAAGTTTAGGACTGAGTTTCTACACTTCCTTGGGACTTCCTTGTGGTGAAGGAAAGGCAGAGACCTGCTGTTTTGATGGTGACATAGTACTGATCAGCAACTGCAGTCTGAACTGAGGAAAATCCTTGCTTTGTCACATGGCTTTTACGTAACTCTACAGAGATTTCCTAAATGCCTTTGTTTGCTGACTAGATCACCTCATAGGTGAGGCTGTCTAGGGCAGGAGCTGTCATTTTTAGCCTGGGAACCAGGATTACAGAACGTTCTAGTCTCCACCCCCAACTCTTCTAAGACCCCTTTGACCATTTTAAAATAAATGTTACAGAAGGACTGAGGTCTCAAAGAGAGCACGTTTTCACAAGTTTCAGATCAAGCCTACAGTGGCTGTGTGGAGGATKCAGAGACTGTAATTAGTGTTCCTTCTGGACAAAAGTGGTCATTATAAGCTAAACCGTTACCTGTTTTGCTTAGCTCACTGTCTGGGCAACTAGCACATAAGTAGTTTGGAATAGCCACGTAATGTATTTTCTCTTCTATAACCTGCAATTAGGGAATATTCTGGCTTCATGGAGAATCTTAAGAGACRAGGTACAGGATATCAACCTTAGCTTTGCTGTTCAAAGAGTACCCACAGTGTAAAGTCCCTTGCCCACCATGGACCTGATCCAGACTGAGGGTTTGTCAGTGTTACTGTATTAAATATGAATCAGCAAAGGTAAAAAATCTCTATTCTGCTACCACAACACTCAAAAGTGTGTAACAACAGTTTTCCTAGCAATCTTTAGTACTTCCTGCCAAGTTCTGAGTTGAGGACACAAGTCCTGCYAGTTTGGGTCACACTAAATAATAAATACATCTGTCTGTGTAATGATTGTGAGATGCTAAGACACATTCCATTTGTTTTTCAAACACATACAGTTTTTTCATTCTGTACTTGCACTCTGCTACTGAAGCACAGAAAACCCGAGTGTTTGACTGTGAACTGACTCTTAAAACTCTCTAAAGTTCCCAAAGTTAATCTCATGTTCTATATACAATCACATTTTACAGAAAGACAAAAAAAAAMCCCTTTGACCTTCCTCATTCTCTGACAATAAATTTTGCATTGGATATATTCTGCTTTGGGTTAGTTACTGATTTCCTATTTCAAAGTAGTCCATTACAGACCCTTGTTTTGATTTTGGTGGAAAAAAATGTATGATTATTGAAGGATTTTTTGTTGTTGTTGTTAATTCCAAAAATGTTGCTATACTGACGAGGGCAGGGGAGAGATATGGAAAGCTATTCTGAAAGCTTAGTTTTTTTGAATATGCTACTTCACAGTCCCCTTTTAGAAATGTCTTATCAACACACTGCTATGATCAATGTTAACGGTTGAGAATTAGCAAAGCGCCTTGAAATTGTCCATGCAGCTGGATCAATAGCCAGCATACTGTGTCAGCAGGACARATTACAGCAACACGACAGATTACTCTGTCTTGGTGAGGGTCATTTTTCCCACTGTAATACATTTGAATTTAGGCAGCACTCTGATCCAGAAGAGGGGCTGGATGTGGTAATATAGCCACCTTCCTCTTCTTCAAAGGTACTTTCTTTTGCAGTCGAGAAGTAACCTTCACCAAGTCAGCTGGCTCACTGGGCACATCTGTATTGATCTGCATCTCCCTTCCAGTTGGTAGGCTTTTGCTGCCCTCACTCTACCAACACAAAGGCTGAACTAGCAGGGCAGCMTACTGACTGGGGAGGGGGTCCAGCCCCAACAGCTCTGGGGCAGAAGCACACATCCCCATGTGCCCAGATTGACACAGGGACTGCAAAACATACTACAGCAAAAAACACTGCCAGAGGAGGGCAAGCAGTGCCCTGCTCAGAGCAGCAGCAGCAGCTTGCAAGGCTCTACAGGGAAAACGGCCGCTGCCTCTGCTCCCCTGCAACCACCTTTATCCGAAATAAATGTTTGCTGCAGGGAGGGATAGTACCCTCCTAAATCCCACTGGTGTAATTGGGTCCCCTCAAACTGATACTTGGCTGGAGACACTGAAAAAGTTGGTCCATGTAGCCCTAAGGRGTGGAAATGTCAGTGGCAGAGCAAGGATTAAAATGCAGTTGCTCTAGATTTCTTCTGCTCATACCACTCTTTCAGTGACATTTGTGCCTCCTCTCCTCAGCCCTGCTCCCAGTCAAGGGCACACGTTGCCTAGCGGGGCAAGTTACCATTTTGGCTTCCTCCACTGGTCTCACTCGGGGCCAACGGAGGGGGGTGCGACTTATCCATCAGCACAGCAGGAGACGGTACACCAGCTACAGGAACAGTGGGGATGTAATATGGACCTGGCATGGAGGAGACCACAGGAGGGTATCCAGCTTTTGCGGCCTTGCCTGCTTCGTACACTAGAAAAGAGAAAAAACAGCAGTCAGCATCACACCAGCCTCCCCTGAGCCCAGGAAAACTGCACACAACCACCCTTAGGGACAACCCAGCAGGAGACAACTCATCAAAAGACAGAAAGGCCAACCTGAACTTCTCTATATCTCAGAGGGCACAAGGGGGAAGTTTAAAAAAACGCTATGGCAGCTTAACTTGTCGGGTGAGTGCTCCAAGCTGCCTTGTGTGCCAGTGACTGGAAGACATTCAGCGTTAGAGCTGCATCACTGCTGCCACAGCTTAGTGGCAGTTCAACTTTAAAAGCAATGGATGACTCAAGCTGCCAGGATGAGGCTCATGGAACTCGACAGATCTGCCTGAGCCTAACTGGGAACCTTGATGGCTTGTAAGGATTTTACACTAGTGTCTGGGACAGCTGCTTTGCAATGTCAGGAAAATACCTCCCAGGATGCTCTCGGCTCTGCCTCCGCAACACTCACTGACAGGATGACAACTTTGGTAGGGGAGCATGACACTTTGGAAACAGGCTCGGCTAGGAGGCGGGGAGGGCTCAGCAGTTACATTTGTAATTAGCTTTGGGCACTCAACCACCCAGCAAGAGGTCAGATGCTTCACTCCCTGGGAACTGGTTCTTTAGTCAGGCAAAAGTCTTGGGGCGAAGGAGGCTGCCTGAGCAGGTTGCTTCTCCTGTTCTGTCGGGGAGCCAAGGAGGTGCAGGCTGGGGAGCAAAGGAGGCGCAGCCACGGGCTGCATCCCCCCGGTGCATGGGGTCACTCACACGCCCGGGGACAGCAGCACGACTCAGGACAGCAGGGCAGGCGKATGTAGCAGCAGCAGCTGTGTGGGCAGCACTGGCACCAGCAGATCCCAACCAGGAGGAAGAACAGGAACGCCCCAAGGATCACCAGGCCCACAAAGACCCATTCTGGAAAAGAAAGGGAGAAAAAAAGAGATACTTAGCAGACTGCACTCCCCTCTAGAAGAGGATGGCAGCATCCTCCTCTCCCTGGAGATACAGGCAAAACAGATAAGCAGGGCTTTAAAGGGAGCAGATTCCCTCCTCGTCCAGGACTGCACCCCACCCTGTGTCAAGGCACCAAGGGCACATCACAGCGAGAACTAGTTACTGAAATGTGCTCCTTTCCCACTGCCTCTGAGAGGACAGGGACTGGCTGGCAGGTGAGCAGCACAGCTCCAGTTCCCCAGCCCAGGAATCCCCGGGTGCCACAGCAGAGCTGCACAAATGCCACAAGACATGTGCTGCGGACCTTTGGCTCTCCCTAAAGGCACGTTCGTCCTAGCCATGCCCATGCCTTGCTTGTGTGTGCACTCTCTACTCGTATTCTAGTTTTAGTGGGACAAACGATGGTGCAAAGCATGCTATAAATAACTCCGTAAATGAGCCAGGCCTGCCCCTTCACAACTAGGCCCACGCATGCAATTATTCTTTTGAATGTGCTGAAAGAACATCCTATTCAGGCATTGCAGCCAGCCAGGAAACCTAACAACCGATTTTTTTTTCCTTTTGCTGATGCCTCAGACAAAATGCTCCAGGCTTCAAAATGGAACGTCTGAAAAACACATGTGACAGCGCAGAAGAGCTGGTCCACACAAATCAGGCTGGGGTTTAAATGGGTTCCGTTCACATTACATGGGAAAGAGAGCAAGAAAATGGTTCAGGCTTCRCTGCCAGGAAATCTGTAGCAGTAGCAGCCATGGCGGGAGCGGGCGCTCAACCCCAACCAGGGCAGCTCCCAGATCTGTGCCGCCCCGTGCGTTGTGAAGGTTGTGCATRCAAGGGTTCCTGGATTAAAGACATGGTCGGTGAACATCTCCTGACCAAGAAACTTCATGACTTTTTGTGTATAAGAGACCTGAACTGGATTTAAATCAGAGATGCATACCCCCCTATCTAAAATCCATACCCCTGGCAAAAGGGAAAACCTGTGACAAAAGACTCCAGATGCCTAAGGGGGAAAAGGCACTAAGGAAGAAAATACAGTAGTAGTGGGGCTGCTTTGTGGTGGGTAGGGCCTGTATAAGAGAAGAAAAAAAAAAAAAAAAAAAAAAAAGGAGGGGGAAGCAGACCACTCTTCCCAAACTGAAGGGGCCTCCTAAGACTTCGTTATTTGAGTTGAAGACTGTTTTACACAAGGATTGCAATGGGGGTATGTAATCACAGTGAGAAAATAGTGCACTTTTGAATTTGGTCACTGAGCTGAAAAGACATGGGAAAAATGATTGTCCTGGAACTAGCAAAACAAACACTTTTCTAGTTCTTAATAAAATGCGAAAATTAGAAATTTTCATTTTTGATTCATTATCCATGGCACTTTGCTAGAACAGAAGTAAAATGCTCTATTTTGCTGGAACTTTCCTTATCTCTTTTACAAATTATTCTTTTTTTCTAAATGCCATTTAATTTAGAAGTTACAATTTCCTTAAAAAAAAACTCAGTGAATGATCTAGCATTTACAAGTCAAAACATTTCAGATGTATGAAGTGAAATGTTTTTATTTTTTGAATATTTATTCATTTTTTAGTGGAAACAGCTGAGTTTCATTTCAACTTGCAGAGGATTTTGGTTCTTGTGGAATTACTCTTTTTTTTGGCTACTATCTGTTGTGAAAAGAAATTAGCTAATGAATAAAGAAATGCCAGCAGGAAAACATTTCTGAAGAGAACAGTAACAGCTGAAATGAGATTACTAATGCACTTCCTCAAGCAATGGTTCTGGGAGCCATCTTATTTAATATTTTCATGAATAACCTTGGAATATATTAATACAACTCAAGTAGGAAAGGTTTTAGGAAAGCACTGTCAATAAAGATGAGGATTGGGCTATCCTATGGAAGGGCYAGCTGTCACTGGGTCTACAATAAGAAGCTAGAAATTCAGCGATTCGAAATTTCAAGGTCATACAGTCAAGGTTTAAAAACAAAACTTCTGATTGATGAAACAGCTGAAAAAAAGAAGAATGAATAGAGTATACTAGTCCATATATTATACTATAACGACTTAAATGACAGAGCAACAACAAAAAAGGCAAATTTAATCCTTTGTGTAGTAGAGGAGGATTTTCTGGTAGCAAGAAGGAAATATTAGCGCTATTGTAACAAGCTCTCTCCAAGGAACTTCTGATAAAGTTAACAATAGTATGCTGCTTTGGTCATCTCTGTGCAAGAAAAGATGAATGCAAGCTGGAGCACATGCAGAACATGGATTTTAGAGTGATCAAGCAACTAGATAGTCTGCCTTGCACAAGGAGAGAAAAAAACTTGCTGCATTAATTTACTGAAGAGAAAGCTGAGTGTATATGCAGCTCCTGCCTGTAAATATGCTGTGGGAATGAGCAGCAGGAGGAAAAAATAGGTATTAAAGTCCTAAATAAATGGGTATTTAACAAACTGTGTATAAGAGCAGATGAAAATTAGAAGAGGCACATCAAAGAAAGCCATCAGTGGAAGAGGGGAAGGCCAAAACCTTACTACTCCTAAACCTGCTAATCTTATGAAAAGGATGAAATTACATAGTGCTTGGGATAGCAAGCAAGATGGTAAGCCAGACTATCCTCTCCAATCCTCCACTTCCTAATCTCAAGGGATTCTTGAGATTATCCCGCTATCCTGAACCAGCAAAGGCCCAGTAGCTTTTCCTTTGCCATATTCTCAATTGTTCTCTTCAATTGGCATTTATCCGAAGAAATAGTATYGCACAACACACATGAGCAGCCACAGCTATGCAGGAAAGCTCAGCTGTCAAATCTCTAGAGCTACCAGTGAACTGTTCTCCATCATGCCATAAAGGATGAAAGTCTGGTGGAGGAATAAAAAACAAAGTCCAGTGTAAGCAAATCTGTGATCTTTCCGTAGGTGTTCCAGGAGCCCGAAGAGAGGCCAGGTATAGTTTGTGCATTACCCATTGCAAGATACTCACTCTGCAGTACGAGGGGATGTTTGAAATCAGTGTTTCCATCACAGGGTCTATGAATCAGGAAGGATTTTGCTTCATAAAAAGTCAGAGCATTTTCCTCTGTCGTGAGATGAAGATTACAGCAAAAGACCTGCTGCCTCTTCCTTTAACTACAGAACTGGGAGWGCATGCATTTATGCTTGCAATTCCCTAATCTTTCCCTTGTTACGATAGCTGTTAACTTCTGTCACAGTCCTTTCAAATGCAAAACTATATCATTGAGATCCAAAAGATTACCAAATTGAAATGCTATGGGTCCTCAGTGTCTGGTGGCTACTCTTTTGAACTTGCAGGAGTGTTTCTGATTTTGTTTCTACAGGTAAGCGGTAATGCTAACAGATGAAATGTGGTTTGCAATGCCTTTTACCCTTTCTTGTTGTTTATATATGTGCAGTGGGGGTACCAGAAAACTACCTGGCCAACACAGCAGAATTTCATATCCATTCAGTAAAAATGTAAAAAAAAATAATAATTTTAAAAAGTGTTAGGCAATGGAAAATGAATTTCTGTGTAAACTGAAAAGACCAAACCTTCTCCCACCACACAGAAACTTGCAGGGAGCTTAAGGTGACACTGGAGGTTGGAGGACGTTTGCCTTCTCCTGGAGGTTGGAGACATTTCTCCTGGAGGTTGAAGACATTTGCATCTCTGGGACAGATTTACCTAGCTTCACACATTCATGTAGAGTTGCATTTTTACACAAAAGTGTGAAAAAAACACTCCTTTGGTACTGTCAGGGGATGATCAGATGACTCCAGGGCTAAATGTTCTCACAGCTCTTCGCTTTCAAGGACCATCTGTTGCTCAGCATCTATTTCCTCTTTAGGTAGGTGTCTAAAATTGGTGGCCGTCCAATTCGTTTGCCTAGCTAGGGATTCATCATGAGCAGAGAGCTCATGTCTGGTCCAAAACCACCTGGTCTTACCTAGGCAATGTCCTGGCCATGTAGCACAAGAGCAACCGTGCCCCTGCCAGGTTGCTAAGCCGTGCTCTATTCCTAGCACCTCCTGTGCTACCATCTGTGGTAGTTGCTATACGAGTACCCACAGCCCCAAGCCGGGGGTGGCCGGGTGTTAATTACTACCGCACAAGAGCGGCTGACGTACAAAGCTGCATGGGCACAGGAGGCTGCTGAGGTCTTGCAGGTTGGACTGGAGCTACATTTGCCCTAACAGGGGGAGAGCTCAAAGTAAAACCTCCCACAAACGGTGCTGGCCCTCCTGTCCTCACACTCATCCCAGMACGACTTTAACCATCTCTGTAGGTTGTCTCCTGGCATGACCATTCYTCCTCCACTCCCAGCACCAGCTCTCAGTTCTCCAGTCAGCACATTTTCGTTAAAAAATGAGGCTTTTTTTTTTTCTTTTCTTCCCCAAATAAGATACATGCAATAGTGAAACACACACCACATTAAAGATGTTGCAGAGGGATAAACAGACAAGATGACAGAGGACTGGATAAAAAAGGGTGAAATGGCTGAATACCTGGCATAATCTCCACAGCAAAACTGGGCAAGAGATCAGCAAGCAGCCCTGTCCTGCCTAGAAAAGACAGAAGGAGGAAAAGAAGGAGAGAGGTTACTGCAATAAAAACACACTTCCCAGCCCCTTGCCTTAGCCTCCAGGCCCCTTCTCATCAGCCCGCTTGCACYCTGTTAAGTGAGCTCCTATCAGTCAGAGAGGTCATCCTGCACCCCACATGGTGCTCRCCTCAGCACTTCTGCTAGCTCTCCGTCCTTACTTTTGATCTTTAGCAGTAGCAGTCAGGGGAAAGAATTTTAGGACAGTTTCTTCGATCCAGACACAAAATGACAAGAGGGAGGTCCCCTCGGCATGACTGCTAGCCTGCATCATCTAGAGTTCTGCTTCACACACGCAAAAAAAAATCCTGGAAATGTACAGCTCTTGGATAGATTTGTTTTGCTTTGAAAATGGACTGATGCAGGTGGGGTGAACGTCAAATGGTTTTTACCCAGTGCACTTGGTAAGTCAGCCACATGCATTCAACACAGGCAAGTGGTGCTCTCTATGTGGAAAGAGAGCTTCAGGAGAGAATCCTTGAAGCATGACTATGGGTATATGCCATTTACTTCAAGATCCATGCACAGTTTGATGGGATTGTGTGAATGAGGCCAACTTGCAAGTGAAGCAAGCCAACCACAGAAGGATTTGTGTAGAATTGCCTGGGACCACTTTGCAAAAGAATAACAACAACAGCAACAAAATCCCAAAGCTCTATTTTAATTCAGAACTAAATACAAAGAAAATCCAAGCCCAAAGGCAGTTTGGTTCATTGTTTTGACTCTGAATGTCTGGGATTTTTCTAATACACAGCAAATACCCGTACTGCGTTCAGCTATAGTTCACACACATCCGCTACACAGCAGCTGTGCTATGTGTTCTTTTATATAGTATCAGGATCATGCTAGCTTTTTCAAAGACATACATGAAGTATGAGAGCTGCACTCTAAAAAGAGGCATATATCATGGACGGACCATAAGAGATTGCCATGTTAAGCAAGTGCAAWCTAGGCTGCCTTTCGCCTCCTCACGTGTGCTTCACATCCTGCACTAGGCAGTGCTCAGACACAACGACAAACTGAATCTCAAGTGCCTTGACCTCTAGTCTGTCCTTGAAAGATATTATAATCAAAGAGATTCTCACTCTCATTTGTCCTCACTGTTTCAGCAGAGCTTCCATAGAGATCAAAAATCCACGAGGAAGCCTGCTGGAGTCATAATAAACATACTCTGAATTCAGGCAGTGTTTTGCAACCAGTTGCAACTCATCAAAGCTTTTCTAGTACTCACTGTAACATCATTAGTCATGATGTACTCCGGAAGCCTTAGCAAAAGATGCAATGCTGATCCTTCAGATAACTGTTGTTCATTTATTACTTCAAAATAGGGTTCTTGCTACCGTATGGAAACATTTTCATTTACACATACACACAGTTTCATGTCATTCTTTGTAGTCCATTTGCTGTAAGGATCAAGTGTCCAAACTGCTTATAGCTAGAATGGTACCTGACAGTACTCATGTATGCTTTCTGCTCAGAAGATAWAGGCAAGATACATGCTCAGGATCAGTCTTGGGTATCACTGGTGGGCTCCAAATGCTTACACCAAACATATGCCTTGCATGGCAGTATTCTAGACGTACATGTGTTCCACATGCATATTAAATATATTCCTTGTTTTCAGAGCATGCACAACCAATATGCAGTCCTTACAGAGGCCATCATGTGCACATAAGGTACATGTGCCCTGCATGCCTGCAGAGCATACAGGCAGAAGTGGACATGCAGCTCATTCCTGTTGTGCTCTGGCTCCGCAAAGGCAGAGCGTGTTCAGTATGCATCCCTGGTGGGGGACGGCAGAGGTCCATGGACAGATAGCCAGAGGCAAAGAACTAATTTAGAACTGCTATTTATGAGAACAAAGATAAGGCAGAGACGCTTGTAAAAAGGAAGAATGTTATCTTAAGTCTAAATGGCTGCCTGCTTTGTCTTGAACCTACCTGAAGAGCTTTGATCCCTGCAAGTGCTGGGGCTTACAAAGAGGCGCCCCAGGCCTCCCAGGGAGAAGTGGTGCATTCCCACGTTTAAGATGCAACACCCAAAGAAACAACCTTGTGTCTTTCAGAAACAACCATGCCGGGAGCTCTTCCTCACTTGTTACAACGGCAACCAAAGTGGCTCAGCTCTCCCTCACAACCTCACTCAGCTCTCCCTCACAACCTCACTCAGCTCTGCTCAGCCTCTGCTTTGGGACAGGAGGGGGAATTTGTTCACCCTGCCAGTGGGGCACACACATCCCAGAAGACCCTCCCCAGTGACCTCCCAGCCCTGCATTGCCCCAGGGCCCCCAGCTGGCACAAGGCTCAGCCACCAAAGGAATGCACAAAGAGTCTAGCGCAGCAAAACTGCACCAGTGGCCACCGCTGATGTCGTGAATAGCCCAGCTGGCTTGCGGTAAACAAAACCCCCGTCTCCGAGCGACTGTGTCCCCAGCAGCTTGCAATGCATGGCGGTCCTTCTCCATGGGCTGAATGAATTCACTGATAACCCTTCCCCCTGCCAAGCGCTTTCCCCCCTTTCTCCTCGTTTTTAATGCRGGCTGCTAAGCAGGCTTTAGTGCAAGGCTTGGGCTGACCCAGGCGGGCTGGCTCGTCCTGATGTTCCCACAGCAACGGGCGCCTCCGACCTTCCTCCCACAACTTGTGAGCAACAAGTGAAGCAAAAATGCTCAGCGGGAGAGCGCAAGCAGCGCAGCACAGGGCAGTGGCAGTGGGAAGGCCACAGGGGGACTGGGATCCAGYTGGGCTCTCACCTCGCCTCCCACCTGGCACAAGCTCCCCTTGCTTTTCTTATTTTTAGGGGAAACTGAAAAATGGAGGTCCAAGGCTGCGAGGTAGTTTAGTAGAAGGCCCTGCTACGGGCCCATCTGGCTGTGCTGCCCCTCTGTGATGGCTTTGCCCACCACAGAGCAGGCCAAAGACATTTAGATAAATGAATTGAAATGGCTGTCTCACTTCATCCTCTCCCCAGAGCTTCTTCCTTGCCCACAAGTGCTACAAGCCCTTATGCCAGTTCACACTGCTGAGCCCCAGTCCATACCCCRAGGTGAAAAAGGGAATAGATGGCCCAGTTTAACAGAGTCGTCCTTGGGTGGCTTTGTTCGAACTAGAAGTTTGTCCTTGTTCCAGCAAAAATCTGGGACACGTTCCCGCCTCTATTCCCACCACGCTGCACACTGCTTTCCGCACCCACGCCACCCACAGAGGCCCCTCGCCGGGAGCCCCACACGCACCAGGGCTCTGTGGCAGTGCGCTCAACCCGGCCCTTTCACTCCTAACTTTACTCAAGACCCAACTTCCCCTTTTACTCCCCTCATCCGCCCTTGCCTAGGCAGTAACCACCAGTGGTTGTGATGGCTGCATCTGGCAAAACAGAAGTCTGGGCAGAGAGACAATAGTACAATAGCTAAAGGCTAATTGAGCAACCAAAATACTGATAAGCAAATATGATGAGTCAGTCATCTTACCCCATAGAGGGAGGGCAGCCCCAGGGTCTGCTGAGCAATGCTGTCTGGCAGCAGACTGTATGCGAGGATCTCTCCTTGAGTGGGGAGTCCTCTGAAGGTTATTCTTTGAGGCTGAGGTTACTCCTTCAGGTTGATCCCTTACCCACAACACATCCTTGGTATGTGACTAAYAGCATGCAGAAACAACATAAACTTCACTAAGTTGCATCTCTGATTGATTGTGCACATAATCCTGTAGATATAAACCACTGACTAAGTCTGGGACCTAGACTAACTCCAGCCGTACCTCGGAGAAAGAGTTTGGGAAGCAAAAGGGTCCACGCTGAACCTTGTGACTCAAAGGGAGGGTCTCTCTGATGATTTTGTCTGACCTTGTCCTCTATGCAGAAAATAACCGAGTGAACTTTGTCATTAAATATTGTTAAACCATTGTCTTATTTACCACTCATCTCAATAAAACACATTGCTGCTTCTTACAAGTGAATTGCATCACTGCTCCGTGAGAGGCTGGAGGGATGCAGAACAGAGCTAGAAGGTGGCAACATAGAAAAGGAGCAGAGTAAGGAGAACTTAATATTCAGGGGAAGGGCAGATGATAAAGCACAGAGAAACTGGAGTCAAGCAGATACATTGCAGAGATTCTGTAGAGAAAAGATACAAAAATAATTAAGTGCTGCACCTGAAATTAAATGATTAAATGTGAGTAAAGGAAGAGAAGCAGCAATCAGGAACGTGGCAATTGGATAAACAGGGGAATAGTGCTAGTTACATAAATTAGATAAATATTAGGTAAATATGGGAGAAAAATGTTGAATCCATTCTCTTTTTGAGGGCTGCAAAATTGTCCTGTCAGCAGCTATAAGGAACATGGGAGGCAGCAGCTACAGAAGAAAGTATTTCTTCCTCAGCAGCAAAAAAACGTGCCAGGTCGTGCCATGGCCACAGGCTCCTGGCATCAGACCCTGTCCCACACAGAGGCTGGGAAGCACAGAAGAGGAAGTGTGGCCCTTGTAAATCAGGTACTTTTCCAAGGAAGCCATTGGCGAGATTTATTGGGAGCGCACAGCTCTGCAATGAATTCCTCTGTGCTCTCTGCTAGCAGTAAACTTTATCCTTTCTCCCCATCTTTCTTTTCCCTCTCCCAATTGGAGGGAGGAACAGCAGCAGCCCTTCTTGGAGATCAAAGTTTTAGCAGGCAACAAAGACCTCCAAGGAGGCTGTTGCCATGGCTACCTTAGTAAGGGAGGTCTTTTAATCCGCCAGTCTCCTTTGTTAGCAGCGTGTGGCTGTCGCTGGCAAAGGAGGAGGAAAAGAGCGGTAAAAAAAGCCTTGGCAACAAGTTGCACTTCTAAATGGTGTGAAATAACGGGCCGTGGCCCGGGCTGGGATGAGCAGGAGAAAGGGACAGCTCCAAAAGCGCCAAGGAGGTGGTGCGGAGGTTGGGCTGCAGGGCCCAAAGAGGCTCCGCACACCTTGGTGGTGTGGGGGGACGAGGT